CCTCCACTTCAAAAAACCATTCAGCCTAAAAGTTTAAGTTTTTAGGTAAGGCCCCTTTATAGTTTTTTTTTGTTCTCTAATACACCACATCATGCAAAAGCTTATTGGACTTAAAATGTGGGCAAGCACAGACCAACTCATATATTGTGCTTAAGTGGGTATTCTATAGTGTGGATGCGAAATTGGGTGGTTTGTTCTCATCGATACTACAGGTGTGAACTACACCACACCTCGTAGGCGTTGTACAAGGTGTGGTGTTGTTCAATCCACACTTTGTTTTTTATTTCATGCATATCATATACAACATGTGAGGTGATCTACAATAAAAATATCTTATGTTTTTTAAACAATATAAATAATTTAAAAAAATAAAATTTAATCATGATTAATACAAAAAAGTATTAATTATTTGTAACATAAATAACAAAATAATTAATAAAAATAGAAAAGGAATTTATAAAAAAATAATACTAATACTTACAAAAAATTAAGAGTATTAATTTTAAAGATAATTAATAAAAATTATAAAGCTTTAATAAAACATGATGAATAATTAATAAAAATTATTAGAAGAATTAATAAAAATGAATAATAATTATAAACAAATAGAAGTTGGGGTAAAACAAGAAGCATAGAATCTTTTTTTAATTTTTATTTTTAACCACCATCAAAGGACCAAACTAGACTCTTTGGTGTGGATGAGAAAATGCGATATAGAATCAATCCATGCTACAACCTCATTGACACCACTTATCTCGTGGCATGGACTGAAATTGTCAGCACCATGAGATTATCACACATCCGAACGCCACACCGCCTAAGTTGTTAAGGTGAGATCCTTGAATAGGTTTTTATTCTCCAACACCCCAAACCCCAAAATCCTCTTATGTTGATAAAATCGAGATCAATGCCCAAGTATTTGCTACAACCAGGGGACATTTTTTTTATGTAAGCTTAAGTGAACAAACTTGAAGGGTTTTCATATTTGTCTTACACAAGTAATCGAGGGTATGTCATTCAACAAACAATATAGTATATGTTTGGTTCCGCTGGCGTTTACAGATTAACACCCATAAAAGCATCACTTTAAACGTTTCTTGTTTTTTTTGTTTTTTTTGTTTTTTTGTTTGATTGGGCATCACTTTAAACCTTTTTTTTTTTTTTTTGTTTTTCCACTTTAGATTAACACCCACAAAAGCATGCCATATCAGCATTTTGTTTCAAGAAGTAATGGTACGTTAGGAGAAATGAAAATTTGATGTTTCCCTAAATGCCCTATGCACAAAAATCAAAGCATTTCTGTTTCTTAATGTTTATTTGATAAATGGTGAAACCAAATAGTGGTTTCATATATAATAAATGCCAATACCTATGTGGTGTGGCGCTATGTGGTGCATTTTTTTAATAAACGCCAACTATTCCCCTTCATTCAATGTATCTAGTAAAGTTTCCTCAAAAAACCATTGAAAGTATGGAACAAACAATTAGGAACTTTTGGTGGGGTGTGTCAAGCAATCGGAAACATCCTTATCGTTGGTGTTCCTGGAACACTCTTACCTTGCCCAAATCTTATGGAGGCCTTGGATTTAAGAAATTAAATCTAGTAAATCAAAGCCTTCTCAATAAAGTTACTTGAAAATTCTTGAATGAACAACATAAACTCTGGGCTCAGATTTGGAAATCCAAATATCTTAAAAATTTTACTGCCTTCCCTTATTCCATTCCTACCTCAAGCTCGATTTATTGGAAAGCTATTTGTCCAAAATTAATTGAATTAGCTTATGAATGTGGGCATTTAGTAAATGAAGATTCCTCCTTGATTTCTCAAATCCCTTGGGTACAATCAAATTCTAAATTCCATTGGATTTCTCTTCCCTTAGCCCCCCATCTTCGGAACTTAAATATTTCCAATCTTCTTGTGTTAGGAACCTGGAATGAAAACCTTATACAATCTCTATTTCCTCTCCTAGAAGCTACCAAAAATCTCAAAACACTTGTTTATCCTACTAATAATGATATTTCTTGGATATGGGAGAGTCATAACTTTGGAAAATATTCGGTAAAGGAAAATTATAAGAAAATCAAATGTGTCTTCTGAATATCACTTCTGATTTAAAATCTTGTCTCACAAAAATCTGGAAATTAACTATCCCTCCTCGTTTCCAATTATTTTTATGGTGAATCATAAACAATTTCATCCCAGTAAGAGAACAACTTTGCTTAGAAGACCTTGAAAATGTTTGTCTTTTGTAATACTGAAATAGAATCATTAACCCACCTTTTTCTTAATTATCAATTTTCCTCAAGTTGTTCTCTTCACCAACCCTTGGAATCTTCAACTGCCGCATATTTTTCAAAATTCTTGGACCACAGGCATTCAAAATTTGCATAACCTAATACTTGACTAATATCTTTTTATGCATATTCTGGGTTGGATTGCCATGGCCTGGTATTATATTTGGTTTGCTCGAAATGAAAAATCCTTTCGGAATCATCACATCTCACCTATGTCAATTGCAAAGATGGTTAATCATTCTTTTCAACTTACCATGGGTTGCATCTATGATTCCTGATTATGCGCGATCTGAAAGCTCCTAGTTGGAAGGTGACTTGGACCAAGCTACACGACAAAGTATCAGAGAACCCGGGGTGGTTAACCTGGCGAGGTCGCTCCGATGCTTAAGTTAGTATTGAGTTATGCGAGCTGGAAGTTAGTAGGCTAGGGAGCAAGTAATCGTGCGTACCTAAGTTTTGGGGGTTGATGCTCTTATATAGTTGGGACGCCGTGGGTCTCGCGTAATGCTTCCGGAATCTCCAGCTCGTGACGTAGGGATCCGTTCCGCTTTGGAAGGTGGGTAACCTACCAATTAATAAGGATCACCGTTTCCTTTCGATTCGAGCGGGATGAGGATAAGGCCTACAATTACGCAATGTGATTCCGAGAAGTTTGAAGATGACTAGCGAGCTTCTAGGTTCGATTATGTGGCACCTCGGCACGCGTGGGTACCGAGGTACCCCGGTTTTAAAGTGCTTTGGTACTGAGGTGCTCTGGTTCCGATGTGACCAAGCTCCCGAGGTTCTGCGATCTGTTGTCGTGGCACCACATGCTGATCCATCGTCTGGCTGGCAGGCCGCATCTACGTGTCCCTTACTTATTAGGTCAGGCCAAATCACCCCTCATCAATTTCCAATCTCTTTTAAATCAATCTACGGACGGATAGCAAGTACTCTCTTCTTATACCTCAAGGTGCAGATTATATTGTATTTTCAAATGCATTGAAAATTTTGGATTCTCTATTTACATTTGGCATCACCGTTATTATCTCGGAATTTAACTTGTTTGAAAATATTAGGAGGACGAACTTCCCCAAGTTAATTTTGAGGAAGTGTGTTTATGTTCTGATCCCAGCAGTTGATAAAATCGTTGACGCAACAAATGGATTCTCCCTGGTTAATGCCAATGGCTTTTGTTGAACTTTTGTTATTAAGGAACCTTATTAACTTTTGTTATGTAAATAGAAAGTTTAACGAATCAGCCCATGCGGTATCCCAATTAGAACCTCACCTTCTTCTTTTGTTAGTTTAAGATTATCAAGAAGGGATACATAGGGTTGAGGACTTTATTTTTCTTTCTGTTTGTTAATATAGTATTTACTTTTTTTTTTTTTAAAAATAAAAAATAAACTAAACCAAACATCATCACCATGTGCTCCTCTCTCTCTCTCTCTTAGAGTTACGTGTAAAGCACGTGCTACAGGCCGTTGACATGTCTTATCATATATGGTTATTTGCTTAATAATATTGTTTTCACTTTTCGACTGATAATTGCTTAATAATATATATATTTTAAAAAATGGCATTGTTTAAATACATGGCAATACCATCCTACAAGGCTATATATCCTTTATTGCTCTCATCATAAGAATATTCAGAAAACACTAGTTAGAGAGAGAGAGGAACTCTGCAGGATCCTTTCAAATCACCTGTCAAAACAATTACGTAAACTTAAAAAGGTCGGTGACGACATTATTTACAATTAACAACCTAGAAAGCTCCAACTCCAGAGTCAGATGTCTATATCTGTTATCCCTGATTTGGTTTTAGATAACTTACACGTACCGGACGGGTTCAACTTTCACAATCCATCTACATGTTTCTGTACTCTCACTATATTTCTAGTAAAATCACGAGACAGAAACTTAAACCACCATCTTCAACAGATGTTAGCTTCAAAAAATCTTGGGTCGGTTCCTAACTACAGCTCTAGCAATAAGATTTAGAGAAAGAATGACCCATAAATCTGGAATATGGATTAATCCCTAAAACAAGTTGGAATACCGAATTAGATCTTAAACCCAAATGCGTATGGGCAATGCAGAAAGTTAGAAGGAATAAGCAGGACCAGAAGTTTATTGCATTAAAAATTTTATTTTTCTGGTCATTATTCAAAGCTAGAATTTGTGATCATATGGACAGGAAATGAATTCTAGAAATGCCCATCTCCTGTGAAGTGTAGACAATCTCTGATTTGAGGTGGGTAAGTTATCATACCAAGGATATTTATGAACCCCAGCAATTACCATATCTCCTCACTCCTCAGTCCCATCCATATATAATCACCGTCCCCTTTGAGGCTTTTTGACTGTTTGCAGAGTGTTCATCCTATTTGAGTGGTAAAAAGAGTCAAAAGTCAAGGAGGGATGGAGTTTTCTGATTTAGAGAGTTAATTAGAAATTAAAGGATAGTTTAACTTTGAGACTAGCAAGTTAGTAATTAACTATTGTTTCCTCTAAAAATGGATTCTCAGAGCAAAGAGAGGATGGTGTCAATTTAGGAGTTCCTTAACCAAACATTTGAAATAGATTTTAACCAATACGATTCAAGAATTTAGCTAAAACAAAATCTCGACGAAGATCAATCTCTATCCATTTCCCTTCGCAACTCTATATAAACCCTTCCAGTTCCTCCCTCCCTCACTCGACTCAGACTCACAGGCCACAGCGTGATAATAATATTCCTTCACGACTCCCACCCCCATTCATCAAAGCAGAAAAAAAAAAAGAAAAAAAAGCTATATAACAACGAGTCTAGTCCACATTCTCCATTCACACACAACACACGCGTACGGAAACTAAGCCTGGTGAGAGATTGACTGAAAGACGGACAGGTGTTGCATTTTTGTGTAAGAAATTAATGGAGATGGGAGATATCCTGCTATACCTTCTCCTTCTCCTCCCCGCTCTTCTCTCTTATCTCTTCTTGAGAAAACACAGGAGGAATTTAGAACAAAGACTTAAGCTTCCTCCAGGTTCAATGGGTTGGCCTTACATGGGAGAGACTCTTCAACTCTATTCTCAGGACCCAAATGTCTTCTTTGCTACTAAGCAGAAAAGGTTTCTTTAATTTCTATACATCTTTTCTATGCTATTATCAGTTTTACTGCACTACTCTTTTTCTTTTTCTTTTTTCCTCTGAAGCTTTTTGTGTATTCTCGGGCCTGAATGTGGTGGTGGCGGTGGTGGTGGTGGTGCTTTAGGTACGGGGAGATATTCAAGACCCGCATACTCGGCTGCCCCTGTGTTATGCTGGCGAGCCCCGAAGCCGCTAGATTCGTGCTGGTGACAGAAGCTCAGTTGTTCAAACCAACCTACCCAAAAAGCAAGGAGCGTATGATCGGGCCGTCTGCTCTGTTCTTTCACCAAGGCGACTACCACAGCCGCATCAGAAAGTTGGTTCAGGGCTCCTTGACTCCGGAAGCCATCCGTAAACTTGTTCCCGACATTGACGCCCTTGCGATATCCACATTGGAGTCATGGTCCGGCGGCCATCTTGTGAACACATTCCAGGAAATGAAGAAGGTTGGTTTCTTCGATGCTATATCTTTATATGAAATAATGGTGGTTACGCTTGTCTCTAATGTGAAACTCGTGTCTTTTTGTTTAGAACCTTTGTATTTTATTGGACGGATAGAACCAGATATAGAGATTAAGAATTATGATCAAAATTGTCTTATTCTCTCATGTTTTGTTAGATGGGTTCTCTTAGCTTTTTGTTTTTATTGATGGGTTCTCAATCTTTCTCTCAATTATGAGTCTTTTCACTTTCTCTCACGGTTTTCTATAATTTATTACTAATGGTCCTCTTTGATTTTTGGCAGTTCTCTTTTCATGTAGGTATACTAGCTATCTTTGGCCGCTTAGACGCTTGCTACAAGGAACAGCTAGAGAAGAACTACTGCATAGTAGACAAAGGCTACAACTGTTTTCCGATAAACATTCCGGGAACTGCTTATCACAAAGCCGTCATGGTAAGTCAAGTACTCATCGTATTTCAGCTACTGCTCTGTAATGGAAAAGCTCTTCTCAATATGATGTCCGGCTGACGACTGACTGTTTAATTCTTTCCTGTATTTTCTGCATTAATTGTCAAAAGGCAAGGAAGAGGCTAGGTAAGATCCTGAGCGAGATAATCTGTGAGAGGAAGAGTAAGCAGTTAGTGGAGAAGGATCTCTTGGGTTGTCTCATGAACTCCCAAGATGAAAAGGCAAACGTCCTGACTGAAGATCAAATCGCTGATAACATCATCGGAGTGCTGTTCGCAGCTCAAGACACGACAGCAAGTGTCCTTACTTGGATACTCAAGTACCTCCACGACGACCCAAAACTTTTGGAAGCTGTTAAGGTAATTAGAATTCATGATCAAAATTTGCTTCTCGATCTCTGACTCTGAGAAGCTACTGCAAATTAAATAAGCAGAGATCGTAAATTAATAACGATAATCATTTTTGCAGGCTGAACATAAGGCAGTATACGACTCGAATGGTCAAGGAAACCAACCCCTGACATGGGCTCAGACTCGAAACATGCCACTTACCAATAGGGTATGTACCTCTCTTACCCAGAAGCAATTATTTTCTACCGATCGATCGATGATATGTAGGCAATGAAGCAGCAGCTTACAGTCAGTGATTGCTTCTCGATCGTATAGCTCGCTGAACAGCCTGAACCTGAAGTGTTTGTTAATTTTGAAGCAGGTTATATTGGAGAGTCTGAGGATGGCAAGCATCATATCTTTCACATTCAGAGAAGCAGTGGCTGATGTGGAATACAAGGGTAAAGTATAGGAATATAGACGAAAACAATTAGACGTTCTCTTCTGTGGACTGTGGCTTCTTTTTTTTTTTTTTTTGGGTTCTCTTTTTTCTTAAGACTGATCATGATCAGTATTGGGAATTGTGATGACAGGATATCTCATTCCAAAAGGTTGGAAGGTGATGCCTTTGTTCAGAAACATTCATCACGACCCAAGATTCTTTCCTGATCCCCAGAAGCTTGATGCTTCGAGATTCGAGGTATGTGTGTGTTGGTTGGAGACAAATACACACTAGGCACGGATATAAACTGAGATGTTGTCCCAGATCCGGTCCCAGAGGAGAGAATTCTGAATGGATGAAATTGTGTTTTGGTTCTGTTTGACGTACGCAGGTTGCACCAAAACCAAATACTTTCATGCCATTTGGCAACGGAGTTCATGCGTGCCCTGGCAATGAGCTTGCCAAGCTGGAGGCGTATATTGTGGTCCACCATCTGGTCACCAAGTTCAGGTACGACAAACCCAAACCCACTTAGGATCATCATCATCATCCAGAGTCCACACCAGTAGAATAGTAGATGGTCCCTCTTACTCTTTTGACATTAATTGTGTGTTTTCGTTGGTTTTGATAAGTTTTGGTTTTCCAGGTGGGAAGTGGTGGGATCTCAAAGCGGGATTCAGTATAGCCCATTCCCCGTCCCTCAGCATGGACTTCCGGCCAAGTTTTGGAAAGAATCCGGCAGCCAAAGCCAAGGCGACGTACAGGAGAGAACAGAGGCATTTCCAAAGTCTGAAAGTCCGAATTAGTCTCAAGTCTGAAGAACCATGCATATGGCATCTCCTCCGCACCCCAACCCCTTTTGACTTGCTTTATTTTTGTTTGCAAGTTTTGGCCTCTTAACGGCATCATCTCTTATTGGGAAGAGAAGATTCCTCTTTTTCTTCTCATGTTGTTCCTGTTATCACTTTTTATTACAAAAGAAGAAGAATTGTTCTAGCTAGTCAGTCCGTCGGTCTTTCTTTTACTCCACATCTTTCAACGGTCCCCCCTCTCTCTCCCTTTCTCCGCTGTTATAACTTGTAAGTAAGATACTAAGATGTAATAAAAGAAGATTGGCATTAAAGAAGAAAAGGCAACCAAGGGTGAACGTGAATCAATCACCTTTTTCGAGCATCGTCTACGGCTTGGACATCAATGGTAGAACTACTTTATAACTAGATGATATCAAGTTGTCAACCCAACTGAAATATTGCCACGTGCACTACAGAGCATGTCCTTTCACGTGGAGTTCTACAGCTGCGGCTGGGAATGAAACACAATGTTTCTGGTCTGATTGGACAGATAGAGAAAGGGAGGGAGGTGCCCATTGCTGGAGGGCATCCTCTCTTTCTCTCTCTCTCTCAAGGACAATGTTTTATAAGTATGGTGGGACCCGTTGCAAAGTACACCACATTTGGTGCTTTCCCTCTTCCAACTGACCCTACCAAGATGTGGCTACAAGAAAACTTTTTATTCTAGTCTTGGAGCTATCGTGCCTTGGCCGGTGTCTATCTATGTCTTGACTCTTGATCGATCTTTTTGGGAGGCCCAATCGTCCTCTATCTGTGGGGCCCTGGTGTGACCCTATCTCAAATGCCAACCAACCACCGACCCGAACCCCTCCTCCATCACTCCTCTTTCTTCTGTTTGCCAACCAAACCAGAGTGTCCTTTCTCCTTGGCCTGCTTTAGTAGTTTTAAATTTAAGCGAAACTGCTCGTCCTTTCAAAACAAAAGAAAATAGCCCAAGACAACTATCACAATTTCCTAACATACCACTCGCTATCACTTGTAAATGGCCTTCTTTTGGGATTCAATTAACCATAATAAGTGTGGAAAACCATGGGCTGGGCTGGGCTGGGTGGTCAAATTAGTTATTAGTATTTCATGGACTCTCTTAAATGAATGATGTCTTTTTTGCATCCAAGTCCAACACTCTACGGACTCCTGTTTCTTGACAAACTTCTATCTATGTATCAACAGTTCCTTTCCTTTCTCCCACACTTGACTTAGGGCCTGTTTGAGAGGCCTGAGTTGAAGATTCAATTACACCCGTTTACTTATTTTGAAGCGCTTATATAGGATAAGCTATTTAAAGACGCTGAAGCAGATAATTAATTTGAGCTCTCTGGATTTTCTTTTTACCAAACATAGCTTATAGGCTGTTCCTTCCATTTCTAAAATAGAATTAATAAACAAGTCCATGTATGGTTTGAGGAATTAATCAAAGGTTTCTTCTCCAAATGATTCATCATGGTAACGTTTAGTATTGCAACCCTAAGGGCCAAGGTTCTTGGTTTGATCCAACTTACCCAAACCTAACCTAAAATAAAGGGTAAATCACCCACTCCCTAATGCTTTGTGATCCTCTAATTCTCGTCCTAGGACTGTTATCTCATGAATGAAAATGCAAAATGACATTAACACCCTGATGTCTGAGAGAGATTTGGGTTTGCCTTTCGCTATTAGAGAAAAAGAAGTGAGAAGCCAAGAATGGTTCCTCGAATCCCAATAAGGGGATCTATCAAAAAAAAAAAAAAAAGAAAAAATCCTGATGAGGGGAATTGAACTTTTCAAAAAATTCAGGGGCGTTCCTAAAATATATCCTATGTACTTAAACGCAGTGACACAGTTGTGCACATCAGCTTATTCTCTCTCCTGATATTGCTTCCCACACCTTACAATTTTGTGGTTTTATGAATTTTAAAAAATAAAAAAAAAATCAAACATGGGGCTGTTTAAACTCACCCACAACCAATTTAGTTTCCTATTTATTAGGAAATCGAATGTGATCACCCCCCATATAAACCTGAGCATAATTTTACATTTTAACATCAGTCCATACATCAGACTGGTTTGTTCTAGTTTAGACAATATCTACGATGCCAGGAAGATATGATACCAATATACCAGCTGATTGGTTACCACTTCTTCGATACCAGTTAATTGGTTATAAGTTTTTTTGGATATCATGCCTTTCTAGTATCATAATCAGATTCTAAAATAAATGATAAGAAAAGCAAAGTATAGAAAAAAAAAAGAGATTCATGTGCTTGTGTTATTACCTAAGGCTCAGTTTGGAAAGAGTACAAATATAAATATGTACAGCGTAAATACATACAAAATATAAGGTTTTGCATTTATACTCCTTCCAAACTGAGTTTAATTTACTAACCAAAAATGTGGTAAGCAGGGAACACTAGATTGGCCCTCCAAAACACTGGTGAAAAACCTAGTTGCATATTTTACAACTTCCTGTACTGCCATGTTTACATGATTATGGCCATTCTCTGGTCCAAAGTTCAAGCCATTTAGTTTATATTTGGTTGAAAAGGGGAATTTATTTCCCATGGATAAGATATAGTGCTAACCTAATTAGTAACAACTTAAGGTGGTTGCTTCTGCAACGTGGTTCAAACCTACCCAATGTTTTTTTATGAAAACATCTATTACCATAGTTTTTCAGATGTAAACAAAAACCTTTAAATAGTGAACCACTTTTTTTTTTTTTTTTTTCAAAAACATGTCAGACATGGGTCTTAGGCCTGTCTACCCCCCTAAAATAGTGAAAACCCCAAAAGGCCAAAACACCCCTATTTTATGTTTTGGTGGGTCACCGATACGAATTCAGGTTTCCTACCCACAAGAACCCTACCCACTTAACACTACAGGTGTACATTGGGAACATCTCCCCATGAATGGTAACATGCAAATAGGGGAGATGTTCTCAATGTACAGCTGTAATCTGAACTCCACCGGTACCTATGGGTCTATATGAAAATTTGAACCTTGATTGCGTAGTAATTAATTAACTGGGTTTGGCATTAATGTCTAGTAAGAGCTACTATTGCAGGACCTAGAAAATTTTCCTTGGGGAGACACTGTACAAACTCTTAAACCCTATCTTCGACACCTAAAGCCTTATTTCGAGTATTTCAAGCCTTCTGCTGGATGAGGCTGGGGGACCCAGATCCACCCTAGGTAACCATATTTTCTAGCCATTGTGAACATCAACAAGACCCCATGGTAAACAGGGCTGTTGTTTATGGCACTTGTCACCTGAACTTATTCTCTGTATTAATCTTGAAATCTCAGTCCTGAATGTCAGGACAGATGCAACAGAATGGTAGTAGTTATGCATGTAGAGCTTGAAGTGACCTCTCTCCAAATGTACCATAATTACAGAGGTAAAGAGGACCACAATAGAACAAATGGTTGCCTGGATGGACACCTCTTACAGTGAAGTGCTTTAACCTGGGCCACCTGGCTGAATAACAACTTATTGCAACTCTCTAGAAGTTGCATCAGGAATCAGTTGCCTACGTGTGAACTCATAAACCAATACAAAGCAGTCCTTTTTTTTTTTTTGAAAAGGTGAAGTAATTTATTCATCAAAGAAAACATTACAACAAAGCAGTCCTTGATATTCTTAAAGAACAGTACACAGTAAATTGTCATAGAAAGATTTGTACTGTTCAGGTAAGAAGATGGTGATGCCTTTCTCAGAAAGGTACAAGCAATTATAAATGTTAGTCGCAATAATTGGTTTGTGTGTTTATAATGTCCTTCTCAGTAATAGTACAAGCAAGACCATCATAAAAAGAAAACAATGGGAATAGTAAAGTGAATAATACATGTATGATATTCATAGGGTAATGGAGCCGTGCATTTTTGGTTGATCCAGTTGACCGCCAAGAAAACCATACAAGTATGAATTTCCATACTTATCAAAGATTTGAATCTTGTGATTGACAGCAAGCATGTGAATTAGCATAAACCTCCAGTCTGAATCACCATGTTAATGCAGCAAGTTAAAGCATAGAACCTGATTGATCTAGATGCCTTGAGAAGCAGCAGATGTATACTTAAGAATGGTAGCAACAGTCCTTTCTGTCTCTGCTTAGGGACCACCTGCATATGTTTAAATTCATACATAGAAGCTGGAATAACATGACCATACTCTATTTATGAGCTACTGTTGCAACATAAACTCAAAATGCATTGCTGGATTAAAATGCTTCTAGCAGTAGTAGCCACGCCTAAATGTGTACCATTGGTTAGAAACGAAATTAAAACTCATACCAAATTTGAGATTTTTATAGTGAATATTCTAGGTGATGATATTGACTAGTGGTTGCATCTAATAAATTATCCTCTTCTCTGGATGCATACGTATTCCTGGTACTGTGCTGTGTTCACGACCATGTAAAGGAAGCCTTACAAGGATGCTGTGACCACTTAATTGGCACTGACTGAAAATTCCCGACACAATAACTTCCTCAAATCCATGCCATGTATCTAAACTCATCAACTAAGAATTTTTAACTTCTAGTTCATTTTTCTTCAAATCCATCTTAGATGACCAAGTACAAAAAAAAAGCCACCTAAAAATTCATTCCAGAATGAATTTTATTTGCCAATGACTTGAAGCCAAAATTTGTTTTCATCGGAACTCATTCAACTTAGCTCTAGGGGACTTTCATTCCACACTCCACAAAAAATATATGGAATGCTGCTAAACAATGAACTCTATATTTTCTTTGCAACCTTGTCCCCAACCAAGACATGCAATTTTTTCTTGTAGCATGTTGTTTCATGGGTCCCACCATGTCTGTATGGTCAAGTATCAATAGTAGCATAAACTTGTTGTTAAGTAATTTATAGGATAAATTACCTGGACAGATTGTTCAGCACACTCGTCAATGACCTGTAGAAATTAGCACCAGCAAAATCATCCTGTTTAGCTAATAAAAAATATTGCTTTAATTCGAAAACAAAATATACAGTGTTAAATCTGTATATATATATATATATATATATATATATACCTACTTTAACCACTGAAGATAACAAAGAAAAGGAAGGTAAAAGGCACTAAGATGGTGTCAGTACCATAGCAACAATGCCTGTGGTGCATTCCAGAATAGTGGGTCACACCATGGTATGGTGTGTTCCAAAACATGAGATAATAGTGCATTCAATTTTCTATTCGGGAGACATGGATTGCTGATTCCAGAACCAGCAATGTCCCAACAGAATATCAATAACTACCATAGTGTGTTTAGGAACTAAATGAAACAAAAACTACCATGATACCAAACACCCCCTTAATCATGGACATTGTTACCATAGTTACGGTGATGGATGCAAAAAACAACAGCTTCAGACTCTGGCCCAATTCATATAAGATAAAAAATAGAAAAAAGGAAAAATAGTTAACAAAGAGATATACCCAATAGCCTTTTTCCTCAAGTCTCAACCATTTACCTTTACCCTTTTCTTTTCTTCACCTTGATTCCAAATCTTAGCTCTAGATTGGACAGTTAAAATCCTTCAACCAATTTCACTTTTCAGCCATGCACCAAGATCAGGTGTCAAACGGCAAAATATGGAGATCATGGATGGTGAAAGAGCAATTCTCCACCTGATATGATCTCTGAGGTCCCATTTGGTTGCAAAGAGAAAATAAGAAAGTGGATGAAACTAAAAGAAAATAAAAACAGAAAACAAACAAAAGAAAATGTTCATTTTCTTGGAGGTGTCTCTAATTGACAACAAAAAAAGGCCGTTACCCCATTGTTGGCCCCAGCTATCTGGGGTCTTGGGAGGGGTGGACTAGATATAGTCCTAAACTTTGGCATTTTTTCCACACAGTGGCCACTCTCATGCTCGAACTAGCATTCTCATGCTTGACGGAATGAGATTTTACCATTGCACCGAATAATGGCCCCTAATTGACAAGAAAAACAAAGCCAAAAAGTGGCAGTTAGTGAGCCCCATCCACTAAATTTGCACTTAGCACTCAGTTCTATTGTATTCTCAGATAGTTTGAAAGGAAAAATAATTTTACCATTTCAAAGAAAATTTTTGGAATCAACGGAGTCCTATTATGGATCCCACCTGCTTTCTTACAAGGTTTAAAATGTCATGTCCGTGGAAATGTTGGTCATCCAAATATAAGAAACATGTTGGAAATGTCATATGGAAATATTGTTAAAATTATAGACATGGTGAAAATATGCAAAATATAGAATGATATTTTATGAAATGATAAAAGAAGCATAGGCACACCTTTTAAAATTATTAACTTGTTCCAAATCACTAAACAAAGCTAAGAAACTAAGATTATGGACAAAATAATACGTTCAGAAGTTGCCATGTAAACCTTAAGATTCAGTGCTTCATGATGGGATGAGTTAAAGCAAAAATTAAACTCATAGAAATGTAAATGGTTGTAGTAGATCAACCAAATAATCTATTACACAAACAAAAAACTAATATTTAACTTCATGCTTGAAATGAATATTGAGCTAGCTCACATTGGTAATCATGTAAGTTAGGTAGGCAATAACATTGTCACTCCACAAAAATACAATATAGTCACCAACTTATGTTGTAATGCTATCTCTTGCACTCCACATAGTGTTGGTAGTGTTCACTGGGCAATATATATGTCGTGGAAACTATCTCTTGTACTCCACATAGTGCAGGTAGTGTTCACTAGGGAATATGTCGGTTCCAATAAAATTTTGTGTCACTACCCATGGAAATGGGAATATGTCATGGCAATATTAGGGAAATTAGAGACATTTTAAACTATGCTTTCTTAGGGCAACAAATGTTTGTTTTATGATTTTCCTGAGAAAATTTTACTATTCTCTCCCATCTCTTATTGTTAGCGTAGGGGTATTTCTATCTTTATACCTAGATTAATGTTGCTGATCTGTAATGTTGTGTTGGAACCAGTGCTCCTAACTTAAGTAAGGGCACATAGGTCTTTTCAATTAGTTTTAATAATATAAATACTGCCTGGCCGACTAGGAGATTTTATGTTGAGTCTTCCAGTTCGAACCAGAATTTCTCCCTTCTCTCTTTCTCTCTTTCTTCCACCTTTCTCCTTCTACATAACTGATCTCAGACAGACAGAACTCTAAGGCAGAACCGAATTATAACATGGTATCAGAGCAACTTGAATCTGCCTAGATTT